TCTCTCTCTGAACCCAAGTTGCCGCCACCTTCTTCTTCTTCTTCTCACCTCTTGAACTCTGATTTCTGCTACTTTCTTTTGAATTTTTGCAACTTTCTAAACAGTCATTTCTTCTCAAAATGCTGTTTTTCTTCTAAAGGTTGTAGTTTTGAGTCTTGGGAAAGTCATATTTAATTGATTTTATTAAGAAATATTATTTTAGCCTGATCTGAAATCTGGTTAATCAGATTTTCTGAGTACCTTAAATATGTTACTGGACTGAATCTAGGTCTAGGTAAGTAGGTATATATGAACCAAATCTGACCAATTGATAACCCCTTTATTATTTCCAACTCACATGATTTTGAGCTTGTATGGGTAATACTATATATCTTTTTACAATGACAAAACCAAGCCAAACAGACAAGGTTGACACCTTAGGTCACATGTAGAGTGATGGAACTTGGACAACTTTCTCTTCTGCTTCAGATTGAGGTCCAAGCAATTAAGCTTACAACTTTGAATATTAGTTTTCTTATGTTTGTTTCAGAAGAGGTTAAATTCCATTACTTGCAATTTAAAGTAAGCAAAGAGTGAGAAAACTTTCCTCTGTAGAAACCTTAAACTAGTTTGATCCAGTTATTTCTCAACTCTGAGGCAGCAGCAGGTCAACACCTTTATAGTAAAACAACAGCAAGTAACTTGTATTCAGATAACATGAAAGATAACCTTTTTTTTTTGCTGAAAGTTAGATTTTTTGATGGGAGTGATTTATTTGAACTTTTGATGACAATGATGATGTGTAATTTTATCATCTATCTTTATGTAACGTGGCAGAAGACAGGCAGTTTCTTTTGCTTGATTTTAATGAATCCGATCTGTTTGTTTACTTTGAGAGTCATGGGAACCAATTTCGTGTTTATCTTTACAGACATCTGCCCTTTGAATAGTTCAAAAGGGCTAACAATAGCAGTTTGTGCAGTGAATGGGATATTATATTATATTGCAGAAACTAGGTATTTTTCTTGCTTTAAAGAGTCTTGCCTGTTTTCTGAACAGAGTAACATGAAAATCAATTTTGTGTCTTATTTGTATTTTACATTAAACTTTCCATCTCCCCTGGTGGACAAGCTTCTAGATTTAGCAATAAATACTAAATATCACTGAAGGGGGCAAGAATCTTAGATGCACTTAATTTTTTACCATACCTAAAACTTTTTTGTGCAGATTCAAATCTTACTAGTCAAACTATTAATGCTGCTTCTAAACATACTTATCCTTCTATTAAGATATTTAGTGATGCTTGTAATTTTCACTCCAATATAGTATTATGTTTTCATTTTTATTTGGACTGGTGTTCTTGTATGTATATTTTTAACATTGAAAAATCAATTAGAGTTAGGATTGGGCACTTTATTAAATAACTCTATTTTCATGGCTGGGCAGATAATTTTTGATAACATCCTAAATGGGAAAATCCCTTGGCCTCCTGTTCCCACTGACATGTCTTACGAGGCCCAAGACTTGATTAACAGGTTACTTACCATTTCTTTTGAGTCTCTAATGTATTCTTTTTATGGTTATGATTTGATTTATAAAATGCCATCATGTTTGTTCTTTCTATAGAAAGGTCATTGGGTATTATGGAAGTAGATGTTGTTTTGGGGCTTAAGATCATCCTGCACATGGTAGATTCTGTATGCAGGAATGCTTTGGATTCCCTGAGACTTGAACTTTATTGATGATATGGGTAGATCTATGGAAGAAGGGTTGTTATTGCACGTCTTTTTACATTAATTACATATTCATGTGCTCCTATATATATATATATATACAGAGAGAGAGAGAGAATGATTTAATAACCTATAAGCAATCTTACATTGTCTCTATGGGTAATATCATAAAAATTGATGAGCACTCAGGCATACTCATTGTATATTATTACTGGTTATCCAGAATTAATTACGTGGTAATGCGGTTTTGTCTTTAACTCTTTATTATGTCTTGGGGATTTACATACTCTAAGCCTCTAAAGAATTTTGCAAGTTTTCGTGTTTATATCAATGTTAGAAGTTACAGGAGACTCATAAGAGAAAATACTATGTATCAGAGATAATGAAAGATTATTGTGCTGCAAAATTTGCAAGGAAACTGCTATAGAATCTTGCCAAAGTTTTATAGTGGTGAGGTTGCAGAACCACTTGCTGTTTGGGCTTCGAATTCCTGGGTGTGATCATCAAAGAGTGGGTGTAAACCATCTGGAATGTGCAAGAGTAGTTTGGTATTCTAAACAGGGTTAATCTGCATTAGAATATTTACAAATTTAAGAATCCCATTAGACACATGGTCGGAATCCAGCACTCTTAAAGAAACCATCCTGATTTGATAGGCTTATCTGTAGAAGCTCTCCTGGTACAAGTTGACTGGATTGGCGAACAGACATGGCTTAACAGGGTTAATCTGCATTAGAATATTTACAAATTTAAGAATCCCATTAGACACATGGTCGGAATCCAGCATTCTCTTAAAGAAACCATCCTGATTTGATTGGCTTATCTGTAGAAGCTCTCCTAGAGAGACCCATCAGGTTCTAAATTCTGTAAGCCATGTCTGTTCGCCAATCCAGCCAACTTGTACCTTCACTTTATTTTATACATGCTGACATGGTATATGTTAAAAAGAAACTTTGATTTGATTGGGATTTTATACTTTTACAGGTTTCTTACTCATGATCCAAGTCAGCGGCTGGGAGCAAATGGAGCATCTGAGGTATAACATAATTTATTTATGTATTTCTTTTTTATATGTATTCATCCATAGTTTTTGTCAACAACATAGTATCTTTGAACAGTGTTGAAAGGACATGAAAAGTGATGAAATTCCATATTTTTTCTTATTTTTACTCTTTTGCACTTTATTACAGGTAAAAGCACATTCCTTCTTCAAGGGAGTCAATTGGGAAACTCTTGCCTTACAGAAGGTAGGAATAAATGGCTCTTCTAGTGATTTTGCAAAAAAGAAAAAGATTTTTTCTGCAAGTGTTCTATAAATGTTTGATCTCAGGGAGCCAACTGCAGTGCTAGTTACTTTATTGTTAGTTCTTTATTGGACCACAGATGGTACGATTTTACAAATGGTAAAGGGTTCAGCTATAAAATACTAGAAGGCTATATCCTGGGTAGAAGTGATCATTTCTAGCCTGGCCCAACCTGATATGTACATATTATATAAAAGTATTAATATATATTTTATGCATATATTATATTTCGTATAATATAAAGTACTTTATATATTTAATATAATACATTTAAAGATATAGGCCCAGAAGCCCATGATCATCCCTAATCATTGGGTATGGGGATGCAGGAACCATGGATGGGTCTGGGCTCCCCATAACTTGTCACCTGTCCCACCCATGTTTCAAACATTAAGACCCACTATTAGATGGGTCCTACATAGTATGTCAGATAGCCTAAAATCAACATATGCAGAAGATTATAACCATTTTTTATTTTTTTTATAGATTTATAACCATTTTTTATTAATTAGACAATGTATTTCTCTTAAAAGTAGCTCAACAAGTAATGACCAAATTATATGATTAATGATCATCCAAATATGCTGATTTTGGTCATGATTAATTTTCTTGGTTGGGACTCTGATATAGGAGTAGGAATGATATGATGCAATGCTAAACTGGTAAGAAATTTTAGGAAAACCGAAAAGTAAATGATGATGGTGAAGGTTAAGACCAAGGTTGGATTCGGAAGGCTAGGAGAATATCAAATGAAGGTGGGCGAGATTTTCTTTATGGTTGTGGCTGTATGATGTGATTGGGAAGCTATTTAGTGCTAAAATTCCCACATTATGCAGAAATTTCTAGAGAAAAAACAAAAACCTCAGTATCTCAAGATTGGAATGAAATTTCTTCAAACTTTCCGAACTCTGAAGGAAGGTTTAGGTTGGTGAACCAAAGAAGGATATTGACTTTGGATGAGTTTTGAGAAGGCTCAGGAGAAAAGCCTTGAAGAGAGCCAGACCCTTCAGGTATAGGAGTGTTCAGGGATGAAGAAGCACGAATTATTGCCATGTATTCTGGTCCTATTGAATGAGGGGATTTTCTAAGAGCTGAAATATTGGCAGTTTTGGAAGGGGTAAAGAGAGCCCAGCAGCTGAATATCAGAAAACTGATGGTGGAAGGTGACTCTAGGCTGGCTATTAGTTGGCTACAGAAGGAAGAGTTCAGTTTGTGGAAGTACTTAAATGAGAAAAAGAAAGTTAAATAGGTATCCCAAAACATGGAGAACAAGTTTCATTGGCCAAACAAGGGGTGGGAAGAGTTGATCTTTTTTGGGCAATGTTGTAATTTGAAGTTTACTCTTAGGGAGGGTTAAGAGATTCTACCCCTCCTTCCTCCTGTATCTTATTCTCTTATATTAATAAAAGTTTCTGTTAATTATAAAAAAAAAAAAAACTTGAAGAGAGAGAAACAAGAGAAATCTAGGAATCACTCCTTAGATTCCTAGAATCATGCAAGTGCCTTGGTAATCACCCAGCATAAATCACACTAGCAGAAAAAATGAAGTATATGTGTGTTTGAGTAAATACATGATTCTGCCCAGGATTAGCCAAACTCCTTAACTAGGAAAACTCAATTATGATTCTGCCACTCATAAACCAACTTAAAAGAAAACTAAATAACTGTTTTACTACTTAACCAATGACTGAAATTTAAACACTGCTAAACTATGACTAGAAAAATCAAAATAAGAGGCTGGACCCCGTAATGAGCAAAATACCTCTCTGATCAAAATCAGCCCAATTCCCAAGAATGGTCATCCTGCCAAATCAGCATTTGTGAATTGTGATTGGGTCTTTTCGTTCAAGCATATGTCCTTAAAGGCCCTGTACAATCTCCATAACTCTCATTCAATGGTGGGTCTCATTCTTGAAAGATTGGGATGGTCAATGGCGGATCCTTTGTCTCTAGATCCAAAACTCCCACATTAGAATGTGGTAAGTGGTATGTTATCAGAACGTCTGAAGTATATGTGTGTTTGAGTAAATACATGATTAGTATTTGAAAGCGAAAAGAAATATCTAATGGTTTTTCTCCCAAAGTGTGTCTAGAAATTCAGGCTCTGGATCTTCATTTCACACAGGAACAAATAATCTGGTATTTAGAATTTTCTATCCATTATTCATAGGATGCCATCAATAAAGCAATTGAATGTTAAGAAGTTGTAAATTCATCACAGTATATTGTTTTGTGAAGAGGAAAAAAAGGAATGCTCATGTATGAATCATTTGTATGTGACGTATGATTTACTCTTAGTAATGAACTTAGTACTGCTAAAGATGCCTGCTACTTCTACCAATCAAAAAATACAGACCCTGCTACTATCCGGATTATCTGAACACTTTAGCTGTTTATCAGGCCATGGAACCAATGACAGCACCCCACGCCAGTGATAAAATGCATGTGGCCCACAGTGAGGGGTTGAATGTTTGTGAGTCCCATGTATTTTGACTGGTATGGAGCACTATTATTGGCTCCACAGCTCACCACACAGCGTTCAGCTAAACCTGTCTTGCTACTTCTCTAGTTACAAATACAGAATCTGTTTTATTTTGGCTATGAGCTATGGTTGGAAATTGGGTGGATTAAGTAGGTTGGGGTGGATTGATTGAACCTATAGAGCCACACACACCCAAAAAAAAAAAGAAAAAGAAAGAAAAAATTATTTGCCCTACCTAGTTGAGCAAGATGTGTTACTGAAAAAATTATTCTTTCTATAGACAATTTCTCTTTCCTATTTGGAATTTTCACTAACCACATTTTCCTTTGTAGGCTGCATTTGTACCAAACCCTGACAGTGCGGATGATACAAGCTATTTCATGTCAAGGTATTCTCAGATTTCTAATGGAATACCAGAAGATCAAAACTGCAGTAGTTCTGCCTCAAGCACAAGTAATTCATGTTCAGATACTGGAATTGAGGTAATGAACCTATTATACCGCTGTTGACTAATATTGAAACATCTCTTGCAATCTATATATAATCTTTATGTGGAACAGACTAGCCAGAACCTTAGAAGCCTTGAGCTTCATATCAGACTGCAAGGTCTTTAAATCAATTAAGTTAACTAGATATGGGCTTCTTTGAACCTGTTCATGGCAGCTGATAGGTGAGCCAATATCAACCCACAGTAGCTGCCAATGCCCCATATGTATGGGATTGTCTCTACTTCCTCCTTGCTACCCAAGACCTGTTCTCTTTATTTCTATCTCACTTTATGAAACCATGGTTCTATGCCAAATCTTAGAAACAAGGAATCTTGTGGTTTCCAAATCAGAGAACCAGCTTTCAGGAAAACTCAGAACTTGTTTTCTTTATTTCTTTCTTACTCTTCAGTCGTTCAGTTTAGACCAGCTATGATGAGAAGTCCATCTAGTTTTGTTTTGCAGGGATCTAGCTAGTGTACTGAATGACTGATAGAAAAGTGAGTCTACTGATTGAATGTGAAATAATTGGGCATGAGTGTCATTTTCATTAGTAATATGACCTAATTAGAAAAATTTTAATGAGCATGTACAACTTTTTAACATCAAACTTTTGGCCCACACTGGAGTACTCTTTTGTTGTGGAACCCGGGGATCAATTTTGACCTTCCTTGCCAACATGCTTATTCTGGTATTAAAAAAATGTATAATTATTCTTGATCTTTTACGAGTTTAGACTCAAGGATATAATCATTCTAGCACAGAACCAAAAATCAATCTATAATTCTAGAAGCATGATGTCTGTTATTATATTATATAATGGCAATAGGCATAGTGGTACAGCATTTTTCATGAATAACCAGAAAAATATCTATGCATGTGACTAAATCTCTTAGGACCAATAGGCAGTCTCTTGCATATGAAGGATGTCATCATCATCTTCTGAGCCTTATCCCAACTATATGGGATTGGCTACATGAATCCTGTTTTACCATCCTGTTCTGTTTAATCTCATGTCCATTGTTAAATAATGAGCACTTGAATCATTTCTTACTACTTTAAGCCATGTCCTTTTTGGTCTGCCCCTAGTCCTTTTGGCCCCTTAAACTTGTAACAGATTGCTTCTTCTTATGGATGTTATAGGTGGTCCTCTCCTGACGTGATCGAACCATCCAAGTCTACTTTCTCTCATTTTATCACCTATTGGAGCTTCTCCTAGCTTCCATCAAATGACTTCATTTTGACCCCTCTTCTTTCCTTTCTAGTTTTTTTCCATTCATCCATCTCAATATATGCATTTCTACCACACCATTTTTTAGACATGTTGTTTCTTGACTACCCAACACACACATAAAATTCTATTCGCCTATATCAAATGAGACTCCAGATGCACCCTTGTCAAGATGTAAAATTAAGAAATCAGTTAGGCTGTTAGAGGCCAACATCTCTAAGCCATGTACCTTGCAGGAAGTGAGGAAGAACATATTTTCCTTGTCCTCTTTCATGTTTATATATTCTAATGCCCTGTCAGTTTATTGAGATTGGATCTGTATTTACTCTTGTTCGACATGGCTCAAAACATTGTTAATAATGCAAGTTTAATTGTGCAAGCTGTCTATTCTTTTTTTTTTCCTCTTGTTCAGATGGACGAATGTGGTGACCTGGCTGAGTTTGGCTCTTCTCCTCTAAATCTTTCGTTGATTAATTTCTCGTTCAAGGTAAGCTTGTTCATCTGTTTAGTGAAAAAAAAAATGATGTTGCTAGTTTAAGCGTATGAAAATTTATCTATACCTTCTAAAAGAGGAAATGAGGTTGTGCTGCAAGTATGATAGAATTCTGTACCGCCAAAAAGCCCTTTATCTTCATTCGTCCAAACAATCATAGGTTTTCTTCGGTCTATTTCAGATTGGGACACGAGGGATGAAGGGTAAAATCTTTTGATGCACTTACACTTTTAGATATGGAATTAATGAACTATCTTAGTATCTAGGTGAAACTTGCATTGCACATCAAAAGACAAAGATACTGATGCGTATCTTGTTGTATATGAGCAGGAAAAGGGGGAGGAAATGGGAATTTGAGTTATTAAAGAAAGTAAATAGGGTTCGACTATGATAACCAAAACGACATGATACTATAAAAAACTTGAACCAATCAAACGGTTAGGGGTGAGCAAAAAAACCGAAAAACTGAAACCACTGAAACCGAAGCAAAAAATTGATTAACCGAATCAGTTGGTTTGGTTTTGGTTAACCAATATAGAAAACCAGCGGTTAACCGAACCGACCGGTATACATATATTTTTATATTTTTTATATATATTTATGTATATTATATTTTATATTATAAATTAATACATATGCATTATATATATTTAATATATTATTTATTATTTATTATTTATTATTTATTATTTAAAATATAATATTTTTTTATAATTTATATTGTAAAAATTAAAAAAACCAAAAAACTGACAAACCGAACTGATGGTTAACCAAACTGGTCAACCGGTTAACCGACTGATTTTGATTCGGTTCCAGTTACCAGTTTTCCAAAAACTGATAATACCGGTTTGATTCCGAAAAATGCCCCACGGTTCGGTTAGCACCCCTGAAACGGTATAATAAAAGTGGTAATTAATCGGGTGGTATTTATTAAAATTCATGGGGTGGTTTGAATCTTTTGATTGGTCAAAGCTCTTTCGGTATCATTTCCGGCATCATTAGATCTCACCAACTAAATAATTGGTCCTATGGTAAATTAGAATGTCCACAAGGATCAAGGAGAGAAGTAAAAAGGGTGAAGGGTGAAAGGAAGAATATGCAGGAGGGTAATAAGAACGAAACCCTGATTTTTTATGGGTAGTGGTGGCATCCATTAATTATGGTAAATTTCTCCAATTGACGCTGATCAAAATGTTTTGCTTTTGCAGAATTTATCACAGCTGGCATCCATTAATTATGATGTGCTACTGCAAAGTGTAAAAGATCCATCGAAGTGCCCATCCCCATCAAAAGGTCTAAACTCATAGCTAATTGGCTATAGACATTGCATTTATTTTCCAAAATTTTAACCGTAAATTTATTTCACAGAAGATATAGAAAAATAATAATAATGAAAAAGGAAGAAGGTAAAAATGTTACAAGAATGGTAACAAATCAATACGGATTTGAGATGGGAGGTTCATTCTCAAGCAGTCTCCTTGTCAAAAGCATTTTCAGTGTTCTGGTCGTTTATTACCCTAACCCGACTGGGATGCCCCAAGACCGATTACTGGCTGCCATAACCAGCGTCCTTCACTCCTTTCTTTAACTTGTGAAGATAGCGGCAACTGGGTTTGAATTGAATCCATAATCCTTGCCTATGATGATATTAGTTCAGTGTATTTAAAATATATTTATTTTTCATATATGTTATAAATTATATATTTAGTTCATAGTGTTACAATGGAATATAGAAAAAATGTGTTTAGTATTATGTATTTTCACTATTTCGGTTTCAGCACGGGTCCCCACTAGTAGACTAAAATTAAGGATTTGGCAAAAGTTTTTGGTCTACTGCCAACTTGACACTATCCTCCTTTAATGGTTTTGGGATCGATACGCTCACACCGGTGGACTTATTAAACAGTCAGAGTATCATATATAATTAATAAAATGAACCAAAAAGTAAAAACACCGTTATTGTCTATGATGAATAAAATGACATGGAAAATATCTTGAGATTTGGATTTTGATTTACTGCCCTACTCAGTTGCTATACATTTGGAAACAGTGCTGATCACTAACATGTGTACTTATGACTGGGAATGTTGGTTCATATAACATGTGTACTTCTAACAGATCAGGAGTCAAATCGCCCTTCAACCTGTCCATTACTAATAATTGATAGAAAAGAGAGAAAAACACACTTTGCATCGTGCAATGAACCATTCAAAAACAAAAAGAAAAATGGAATTGAAAATCCAGTTAACTAGTGGCCATTTTGAACAAATGAATGTTTTGCATGGCATTTCAACTTGGAAGTTGGAACCCACACTTGTTCTTAAGAATATAAGATGTATTCTTCTAGTCTTTTATTCAATTGGCACTGGCATTCATGTATTTTAGCACTGTTGTCATCATGCCTTGGTGCTAATGCCAGTCAGGATTATAGCGTGTTGCTATATTAATCATTTTATGGAACTGGAGAAGTTTGAAGGAAGACAGTACTCACGAGCGCTACTATCAGATTCATTAGATGCCTACAACTACAAGATCTACTCTTCGATTAGGCAAGAGAAGTTTCGAAAGAAAACTATAACAACCTATTTACCTATTTGAAAGTGTAAAATTAAAATGTGCATCTGAAACAAACACCAAAAACTCAACATAAGATGATCCATTGAGCCTAGACATGTTAGAAGTTGTAGACCATGCTTTGTTGACTGCTCTAGGCTTCATTCAAAAATGAATGAAAATAGAGCATCTGATTATAAAATTCTTGCCAGGGGCCTCATTCTTTTTGGAATGAAAAATCAATCACCCCATGGCACAAAAAAAGGAGGTAGCCTGTAGCATAAAAAGTAACTGTTTCCTATGTCACTCATTTCCATTCTTGAAATCACTATTCCAACAGTTGTAACTGCCAGCCAAGGCTTAAAAACTGTCGACATAGATACTAGTGAACTGCTGTGAAAACTTGTGCCACCAGACATTGGCCGCCCCTATCTGCCAATAAACATCTATGCTGATAGTTTAGAGACCTAGGCCGGCAGCTAATGCCTGCCAGCATGGAGCATTTTTGAAGGATGAAAACAAGTAACACGTGAAGAATGTTTATACGATGTTTTATCATATTTTATAACTTCTTAATATATGATGCTTATTGAATATGCCAATTTGATGAAATCGTTAGATATTTTATACTTCATGTTATTATTTTATTTTTAATTTTACAATTTTTAAATTCTATTTCTATTTAGAAGTTTCAAGCTCTTTCCTTCATTTGTATAATTGCCTACTCAATTCAGAAGTTAGTTTTAAATAGGTATTAATTGTTTTAAATTTTCTTTGATATTTCTCTATGCAACGAAATGCAAAAACTTTTTTAGTTTCTTGTCTTTTGTTTTTCATATTTTGTGTTATTAATGTGAAGCCCACATGCCAAATGGTTGATTCGTGTTTTGTTGGCATGGCCATGTGGGTCTTACATTCTTCCACCATATATCTGCCATTTTTTTGGTGCTGCACTATATTTCTGCCATTGAATTTTGTATATTTGTATGTATACCTATATTGTTATTTTGTTTGATGAAAAAGAATAAAATTAAAACTTATAACCAAATGGATTCAAAATTTATTCTCATCTTTGCTACTAAAAGAATTCTTTTTTTCGAGGAAAATAAAGAAACATTTGATTCATAAGCTCAATTTAGTAAGAGTATAAATACAAATATGTACAGTATTAAGGAATACAAGATAATACAAAAACAAGGTCTTGCACTGTACATATTTGTATGTGCACTCTTTCCAAAAGCCATAACAATAATTTCTCATTCTGTCCATTTGAGCATATGAAAGTTGAAGCAAACATGGCCTTAATTGCCAACTTCAAAACTGCATTCCAACATGCATGATTAATGTATGGTACGTAAATATAGACCCACCTAAAGCTTGCCCCAGTCACAATGAGCACGATTGTATCATTGCTAACCGCCTGCTTTCTTAGAGTTTCTGATTAGATTGTTTTCCTACCATCCAAAATAAATACATCAAACTATCCGCAACCCAATCAGATCGAGTAAGTCTCCTAGATGATCTAACATGTGGTACCCGCTCAGTGGTGGATCCTGATCTTTCATCAAGTTTATTAATCCATGATTTAGAGCTCATTGTAAAACTTGAAAGTTGTTCACTTGCTCGAGTCTTTTACAACATTGTCAAATTGATCAAGCTTAAAGGCAATAAATATCAGTTAAACGAGATCAAGGGTTATCTTGCCAAATATCCAAATCATCATTATGCCAATAAAAGACCCAAGCAATTGCACAAAACCATCCACCTTTGTCAAGACAATTTGGCAAAGCGAAACTAAAACATTAAATAATAGACAGGGAGCAATAGTCAAATGAGTTGACTTACAAACCGAAAGACACCGGAACCACCATGTACCATCAGCAGCCTCCCCCCCCCGATCAATGCCGGGGCCCAAATATTAAATATTTTGACCACCACATGTTTGTTGAGCGAAACTCACAAGATTATGCCCAAAAGAAAAGAGTTCCAACTCATCTACACATGTATAAGAAGCATAACCTCTGGGCATCTTCCATCCTTGCATCTCCCCGCGGTGTCATTTGAAATGAATCAGACAGGAATGGAGAGGCCCTTCTTTGCCATGGTGTCGAGAACATCATTAAGGGCTTGACACAGACCCACAATCTGCAAGTTTGACCGTGTCAGATTCAGATTACAAGCCCAACTAATCACAACCAAGAAAGAACCCATCTAATTAAACATTTTTCTTTCCTAGTGTTCTAAAAATTAACATCGTGACTACATGTTCAACGGTAGCAGTTGCTTAGGGCATGGCAATTTCCTCCTGTATAAATATTGCACAGAATGGTATTTATGGCACACTAAACAAATAAACAGTGAGTATTTCTGACAAGAGGAGGCAACTTGCTTAAAGCTATGATACTATGACCAATTATGGATATGCCTTGGTCAACCATGGGTTGGATTGTTTTCCCCCAACTGTGATATTAATATTAATAGGAATACATTCCACGCATGAATACACATCCATCTCACATGTAATGTTTGCATTGTAAATTGTAATATCCTGGTCCATTGGATCACTTTTGACACTGTTGCATGGACTCTCCTAAATGGATGTATCCATATCAGACCTCCATGGATTTTTGGGTTTTTACCTAACATTGCCTTCGTATCTCCTACCTTATTTGACATAAATGAACAGCTAATGTAAAAGAGAGTTCGGATTGGCTCCCCACAGCACATCTCAGCGTGCACTGGGAACATGTCATGGGGAGATGTTCCCAATGCACAGTTGAGATGTACTGTGGGGCACGCTCTGTGGGAGCCAATGCTGTATGTCATTTTTGTGTCAAGTATAACTTACCAAAAAAAAACATTACTTAGTGAAAAAGCCAGCATTTTTGCAGCTATATAATATTAGAATTCAAAAAATATAAACTATTTTAGTATATGCTTTTCCATAAGCGTGTCTGTGAGTCCATATTTTCTCACCTTGCCAAGTCAGACTCTTGGGCATACTTTGGGTTCCAACTCCCAATGTCTATGCCCATGCAATACTGCTTATGCCCTCTTTAATTTCTACAGTTACTGGTTAAAAAAATACTCTTGCGCATAGGATGGACTCATGGACAAGCAAATAAAATAGAAACTTACCTGCTGATCCCATTGTTGCAGCTCCTCGGTGTCATCCTCAAAATGTATGACACCTTCCACCTGAAAACAGAAATGCTCCAAATCATACACAGTAGTTCATCCATAGCAGACCTTAGAATTTAAAAGTATAGTCATTTATGGTTTATTAAGGGAGATACTAAAATTGTTCTGTAACAATTTTCAAGAACAAGTGGAACAAGAAATCATCATTGGGAGTTGGATAAAATGATTTTTAAGAAATCGTGATTTTATCTAAAATGATTTTTAAGATAAAATCATGTGACTATCATTGTACCTGATCAATTGATCCCCTCATTCTATCCTCATAAATCATTCTCGAAGCTATCTTCTCTGCCTGCCAATAACAGTCAACTTAGTTTAATATATAATTTTAATGGATATGCTTCTTGTGGAAAGCTACCCTTTTTTTCTAGAAAGGGATTATAAGAACTTTGGGGAAGACTAAACAATATGAGGAATGCCAAAACTAAGGAAAGTAATGCTAAACACAAGTCTTCTCTTGGAACTAAAATACAAAGTTTTATTAAAATAAAAAGAGGAGTACAAAGAAAGGCCAGTGGTCACCCAAGAGAAAGGACAGACCCCACACGACTCCTACAGAGCCTCCCTAAAACCAACCAAGAAAAAACAAAACTTCCCACATATATAATAAACCCACAGGACACTCAGTCACTCACCCAAAGCAACCCCTGCACTCATTAGGATAAATCCATCCACAAAAGTATGCTTCCAGAAACACATCCCTCAATAATCCCAATAAACTCCCAACCCCAACCAGATAAGTTCCTAAACAAATCTCACCATTTTTCACCAAACTGAAGTAGGACTGTCGTTATTCATTGGGTACATCATCTCTACTTCCCAAAACAACTGTCTTGTAACATCTTCCCCACCTAAAACCAATAAACCCAACTGCTTACAAACTGGAGTCCAAGTGCAGGACAGTGCCTAAAAACTTCAGAATTTGACCCAACTCAAGCCAGCCAAGTAATCAGTTTGAAATACTGTGTTAGCATGGAAACATCACCATCTATAGCTACTATTAAGTTCTTTGCATGATAATTATAATATCTTATATTTCATACAAGTTCATTAATTTGGTATAAAAATGATTATATAGTGATATACTTGCAGTTTCAAAGAGAAATTTTCTTACCAAGAAAAATGCTTTCTCCCTAAAGCCACTTCCCAAGAGACACTTTAATCTCACTAAAAGAATCCCAACACCAAAAGCCAAGAACCTGGCAAACAGAATACAAATTGTCTAGAATTCCCAAACTTGCACCTGCAGAATATCACATCCCTAAAGGTCTCCCCTGTAGCACTTTAATCATTCACCAAAAAATAGCCCAATTACAGATATACAAGAACCCTTTTTCCCCTGTATCACAAGAAAACCCAAAGAATAACAATATTAGTTTCCAAAAAGGAAACCTTCAATAGAGATCGCACTTTCTTTGAAATTCAAGACACTATTCCCAAGAAAAAAGCATGTAGTCCGTTATTTCCTTTTAGAGAGGATAAATATTTTGAGATCTGAGCTATAGAACTTTGTGGTAGTTTGGGAAGTGAGACTCTTCTCCCTAGGGTGAAACTCCTGACTCTACCTCCCCATCCTCTTGGTTGGTGAGACTTCAACCGAAGGAATAGAAACTAGAAATGAGACTCTTTGCAGTGGTGCTTCCTGTACTCAGTTAAAGAACTCTTGCAAGAATGGAGGGTTCCAGGTATATGTCTTAGAAGTTTGTTGGCCAACAATTCCATTAGGGATTATATGGGCCATTTGGTGTGAGGGGAATAATAGGTATTAAAAATCATCATCTGAAGAAAGGGTAATCAACCTAGTGGTGGATGAACTTAAAAATTGGTTGTCTATACACAATGTATCTAAAGATGATATTTTTGCTTCTTTTTTGATGGTGGACCTTTGTGGGGGTCCCTAAATAGATTATACATGTCATTGTACATAGGACCTTTTTTGATACAGATACATTATACTCTAATGTATAGCAACTCATTGTACATAGGACCTTTTTTTACGCGGATACATTATACTCTACATTTTTATATATACATATATATTGTGTATTGTCCCGTGGTCTAAATTGTCCACCTATACCCCACCTTCAATAGTTCAATTCAATAGATGAAGCCATATCTTCTTCTGCTAGGCCAACCAGATGGCTCAAATACTTGACAAGTATGTTTTTAGGAAGATAGCAGTTAGAGGATTAACTTCACCAAAAGTGAGGTTCCTGTGGTCTGAGAATTTCATAACATACAAGAACTGGCTGATATATTGGAGCTAATTACATGTCAGCATCTCTATAGAATCCAGCATTCCGATCATACAAAGTATTGGCAAGAAACTAACAGCGTAAAATGTAAAGAACCTTCCCAATCGGATTAATTGTGTGGCTTTATTTGTATCATTCAAGAAATTAAGTATGATTGTTTGTTGCATTTTAGTGTATTCAAAAGCACTTTCCTGATCTTATATAGGAATTTCGTTTAGAGGTTTATTTTTTCTTCTTTGGAGGGATGAGGTGTTTTCTGTTGATTGCTCCATGATCTTGAGTTAACTGAATCAGGCTCGTCCTTTTCTGCAAATTCACTAGTTACTACCATACAAGTACTTCAGTTCAGAAAAGACTAAGGGGCTGTCTGGCAAGTCTTTCTAGGTAGATCTTTCAACAGCTCAATAGACAAGAAGACGCACTGAGCTTTTGGGGTCTTGTCTTTAAAAACCAAGACTGCTTGGTTCGCGTCGTGGTCTACCAGGCTGTCAAAGACAGCTGGGAAAGCTACTTCCAGTGCGGAAAGGCCAAAAGCTTCATTTGAAGCTTCCCGGTTTTTGGCTTTTTCAGTCTTTCCACATGCTCTTCAGGTCTTTTGGTCTACACGGTACCAAACAGAAAAATACCTTTTTTTGTCTTTTTGAGCTTTCCACAGACCAAACGATGCACCAAACACCACCTAAGTAATTTGCCATGTTTGTGACTCTCACAGCACAGCAGTCAGAGAAGCCACTGCAACGACTGACAAAGAATGCAGTGTCATATAAACTGATAACTGTTCCAATGAATTTATCAGCTAGGCCAAGCTGTTGGTTAATGAGAGATGCTCCTTATATAACATTACATATCTGTTTGTCAAATCTTCATCATCCACCAATCATCACATTCAGATTTATTCCCAAGTAAATGTGCAACTCCAAAGACCAAAGATAGATAGGACCAGCATTGGGTAATGGCCCTTTAATAACAGTGTTAGGTCTTAGGAGGCAAAAAAAAATTGTTTTTTAACAAACTTCATTTTTATAGATCTGTGTAATATAGCATGCTCCTTGTACAGAGATATCATAACACGTGGTTAACAAAGTTTTCGTAATTTAATAAGGAACAGTCAACTGCATAATAAAGAAATCATCTTAATTTCTAAACTATTATAGTAATTTAGGCAATATGTAATATCAGTAATATTATAAATCCATGCATCTGAAAATGCACAGTTATATAAGTCAAGAAGTGACAAAGGCTCCGATATAGTCATGCAGGGAATGTCAGACCTTGAAAGTGAAATAATGAGACAAACCTAGATAGAATGGCATGGAGGAAAAGTTTCATTAGATGGCCAGAAATAGATGAGATGATGATGATGTTTTAAAAGTTTAGGAGTAGCGTCAGAAAATCAAAAACATTGAGATAAGGGTGTATAAGCAACACAACAAAAAGATTGTACCTTTTGAGGAGCAATACCCAGCAAAGTCCCCAGTTCCTCAAAGCTGCATGAGTAATCAATTAATGAGGAATGTTACAAAATTAGAGAAAGTAATAGATGCCTTTCATCAATGCAAAGGAAGATATAACAGAGAAAACAACAGTATTCAGTTCCCAACCTTATGTTCGTGTAGAGTTTGCTAGCACTGAGAAGATTATGCTCAATCATAGCACGGTCAAGCACAGTGAAATTGTCTGGCAAAAGCGCTTTCTGTTGGAAAATCACTGGATAATATTATCCTAATGCTTCAAAAAAAAAGTAAAATTTCTGAGAAGGAAACTAAAAATGAAGCAAAAGTGTTGACCTGGTGTGCTTTTAGTTCCTCAGCAAATGTATCAATCTCTGGTTTTCTCAAAATCCTCTCCAGATAAACCTGGTAAGTTTCATTACAGGGTAGCAATTAGAGAAATAATAATCACATACAAACAGGAAAAAAAATGATTGCATGAGGAATGCAGGAAATACTGCCTATAATATCAGAATCTCAGTTCAAAATTATGGTACAACCATACCTTTTGCAGTATTGGATAAATCTTCAACTTTGAGCAGCGTTCATCCTGGTAACAGAAAGCCAAGTATTCATATAGTATACATACATGACAGTAATTTTATTAAAGCATTAACTAGTCATCAACAAGTTGATCAATAGACATGATGCAGTCACCTAAGATGACTACGTACCATCAGTTAAGCCAATTAGCAACTAGTTTACCACCAATTGAATATATATATATATATATATTAACCCTTGGTGTTGTTATAGGGATGCAGGAAATGTTTGCAATGACATGTGATTGGGTGAGGATATATAAAATAGAAAGAAGGCAGAATAATAAAATGGAAGGCTATATTATACAGATGTAGCCCATCCCCCCCACCCCCAGGAAGAAGAAGACTGTCATTGCCCTATAGACTATATGTGGACATTTGAATGAACAGAAAACACATAAGGAGGATTAATTAAGAATGTAGGAAAGATAGGAATTAAGTAAATCTAGATAACAGATGAAAAGAAAACTAGGAACTAAGAAGGGAAAAGAGGAAATTAAAAAGAAAATGTGAACTTAATTTTTCTAGACTAATGGAAAGTTTTCTTCAATTCCAATCAAAACATCAAATTATAGCAGAATCTCAGGAAGAAAAAGATTGTTTCAAGAGAGTTGAATTCATTAGAAACATGAAATGCTAAGTGTCCCGGCACATATCCTTATATGTGGTCAATTGACCAATGGTTGGACACCAATTAATCAATGCATTGCAGACGAAGGGCAAAATGATTACTAATTGCCTCCATGTTGACAACAATGTGACAATAAAGGTACCCATTTATTATTTTGATTAGAAATAAAAAAAAAAACAATATTAAAAGAGGAAAGCATAAAAGAGAGCCCCCCGTAACAAATTTTATTCTTGTTGTCAATTTTGTTCTGCCAGATAGCTAAACCTAATAAAAACTTATGATCAACTAATATATTGGCACTGAAACATATATACAAGTCATGGTTCTAAATGTGACCAGAAGTTTGTGAAGCATCAATCGACAGAAAAAGGCAACTGAAGTTACTAAACATTTTGGCCAGATCTATTTGGTATCCCTTCAAAATTCCAGCACTTAGGACTTTTTTGAGATTGCAGTTTTTTATTATTGACACTAAATGTATATCAGTGTGTGTGCACATGTGCATCAGTGCATGTGTATACAAAAAATATTAGTCTATTTCTGATTTCTTTTACAAAGTTGTGGATTTTATAAATTATAAAGCAGAGTCCTTTTGTCTTCTTCATCTTCTCCTCCTCCTCCTCCTTTCACCCTTTTTTTTTCTTTTCTTCTTTTCCTAAGAAACAGAAATAGAGGCTCAGCCCCTCTATTTTGTGAAATTTCTTTTCTTCCAATTTTGTCATGAATATGTTGATTTTCTAGGTTTCAAATGAAGCTTATACATTTTTTATGAAAATTATAGACAATTAATAGTGAAAGATGGTTGCCACTTGCCATGGAACCTAAGGAATTTCCCTAGGATTCATGATTTTTATTAAAAAACAACCCATCACTTAGGCAACTAAGCAACACTTAATGGTTAAAGATTGGTTTTATTCGGGGAAAAAAATCATCACCTAACCTTGCCTCGATGCCTTCAAAACTATGCCTCTAGGGTCAACTCCCTTACTTTGACAATAAAGAAATACAAAGATAGCTTAAAATGTGGAGCAATGAGTTTGCATGGTCACAACATTTTTTTTTTTTGAACCTTCCAATAAAACACAACATGCTATCAACAAATCACCCAATGAGTGCTTACCTGGGTGATTTGGTTTTAATGTGTCCACATGGTCACAACACTTGTCATCCTCTAATAAAACAGACGTGTTATTAATCAAACGAAAAACCAAATTATCCAAATAGTACATCTTATTGTTGCTACCCCAAACGACACACTAACAACCTGCCAACATATTTTTTTTATCAATGCAACCTGCTAAATATGAAAAATTGAGATTGCCTCTAGGGCCTACTACCTTATTATCACAATTTAGAAATACCAAATGAGTGCATGCCTGAGTGATTTGGTTTTCTTGAGTTCACATACTCAACAATTCTTGCAACTGACCATCCAATAAAACACAAACATGCTGCTACCAATCAAATGAAAAACCAAACAACCCAGTGAATACATGTCTGCTATTGCTACACCTACACAAATGATACAAGAACAACCCACTACCTTTTTTTATCAATAGCTGAAATGGATTCATTAAATTAAGAAAAAAGATAAAGATGTACAACCAAGGGAGATATAAAATCTCTTAGCTTTCCCATAACATAAGCAAGAGCAACCCACCATCATATAAAATAGGGACTGCCTCTAGAATATACTACCTGACTACACCGATCAGGTAATACCAAAGTAGCTTAACATGTAGAGTGACGCCTAGGCAATAAGGCTCTCACGGAGATCACCTCACGTAATCACCAAGATATTTTTTACACAGTGCTCTTGGATTCTTTTACATTCTTAACTTTCTGAGGTTATAATAATAAACAGACACTATTAAACTAAATTATTCAGCTTGAGTTAAAATACTAGTTTCTTTTCATGATTTTTCTTATTTTCTAGGTTCAATCGAGATGTATACTATCTTGAACCCTTGAAGACTTCAAAACCTGAACTAATAAGCATGGAAAAACTCGAAATTTTATCCAATCAACACATTGATTTTCCTCCATCCTTTCTTTTCTTTTCTTCTTTTCCTAGGACGAAAAGTAGATATCAACCCCTCTATTTTCTGGAATTTCTTTTTTTTTTTGCATTTTTTCATGAATACGTTGACTTTCAATGTTTAAATGAAGTTTATACACTTTTTAATAAGACTATAGACAATTAATGGCGAAAGATGGTTGCTGCTCGCTATGTCTAGGGAATTACACTAAGATTCATGGTTTTTATTCAAAAAATAAATAAATAAATCCCATTGCCTAGGTAACCAGGCAACAAAACAACCCTCTTTCGCCTAGCCTCACCTTGGCACCTTGAAAACTATGTTCAGGTTCTTCAGGATAAATACTTAGTTGAGTTAAATTTAATTGAATAGGGATTGCATGCAGAAATGCAACTTTGGTATGATTCAAGCATCTGAATAAAAGCATTAGACAGGTAATCAATTTTAAAATTGAAGGAAATTGAGATTATTGGGAGGAAAGGGAAAAGGGCAAGGTGGTGTAGTTTTGAAACGAAGATTGTAAGCTGGAATATAAGAGGTTTAGGGAGAGCATCAAAAACAACTCTTAAAGGAAGTACTGAGGAGAGAAAAGCCAGATGCGGTACTGATACAAGAATCAAAGGATCAAGAGATTGATGGAAGATGGGTGAGGAGTGTTTTGGGGGGGGGTAGAGTCATAGGTTGGGCCATGGCTCCTTCCTGTGGGGCTTCAGGCAGGATAGTTACCCTTTGGAATGAGGAGACGTTGGAATGTGAAGACTCATAAAGGACGTACTGAGGAGAGAAAAACCAGATGTGGTACTGATACAACAATCAAAAGATCAAGAGATTGATGGAAGATGAGTGAGAAGTGTCTGGGGGGTAGAGGCATGGGTTGGGCCATGGCTCCTTCCTGCAGGGCTTCAGGTGGGATAGTTACCCTTTGGAATGAGGAAGCGTTGGAATGTGAAGAGGAGCTAATAGGAAGATTCTCGGTGTCAGCGAAATTGAGGTTTCTAAATGATAGCTTTGTGTGGGTGTTAACAAATGTCTATGGGCCTAATTCGTATAGGGAAAGAGATGAATGTGGGAGGAATTGGCAGACGTGAGAGGTCTATGGCAAGGTCCACGGTGTCTAGGGGGTGACTTCAATGTGATAAGACATATTACTGAATCAAACAATCCAAGACAAAGGGTAACAACCAGTATAAGGAGGTTCAATAGCTTTATAGAAACCTTTGAGCTTAAAGAGATTAGACTTGGTCAACATCGGTTCACCTGGACTAATTGTCAAGAGAATCCTTTCTACTCAAAACTAGACAGATTCCTTGCCTCTCAGGACTAGGAGAATCACTGGACCAATCTGGTAAGCAAAATGCTACCCAAAATCACTTCAGATCACTAGCCGATTTGTATTGGGCAAGGAGTAGAGGGAGAGGGGCCAAGGCCTTTTAGATTTGAAAATATGTGGCTTACAATCCTGAAGTTTATGCAAAAGATCAGGAATGGTGGTTGGAAGATGATCCCCAGGTGGAAAGGGAAGGGTTAAGATTCCATAGGAAGCTTTAGAACCTAAAAGAAAAAATTAAGGATTAGAACCTTAAAAATTTGGGAGAATAGAAGAGAGGAAGGAATTTTTGATAAGTAAAATTGAAGAGTTAAATAGGAAGGAGTCAGGTTCTTCAGAAGTAGGGGGCAAAGAGGAAAGATTTCATCTAAGAAGAGAGCTGGAAACTGCACTCCTGAGAAGAAATAAGTTGGAAACAGAAGCCAAGAGTGAGTTGGATAAAAGAAGGGGACGGGAACACAATATTTTCACATGATTGCAAATGGAAAGAGAAGGAAGAATTTGATTTCTCTGTTGGAGATGGAAAAGGGACTATAACGAATCAGGACGAGATAGAGAGGGCCATGGTGGACCACTTTAAATCAATTTTTAGAGGACCTCTGCCAGAAAGATGGAAGTTAGAGGGTTTGGATTGACCAGTTTTGGGAGACTCGGTAAGTAGAAACCTAGAAAGATTGTTTGAAGTAGAAGTAAAGGAAGCAATCTTCTCCATGGACCACTCTAAGGCTCCCAGGCCTAATGGCCTCACTATAGCTTTCTACCAAGATGGATGGGACATGGGAGTGGCTAAAGGATGGTTTAATGGAAGTCTTTGAGGAATTCTACCATAAGCGGATTGTTAGTAGAGGGGTTAATGCTACCTTCATTGCATTAATCCCAAAGAAGTCTAAGGCATGCCATCCAAAGGACTTTAGGCCAATTAGCTTGGTGACCAGTCGATATAAAATCCTAGCAAAGGTCCTCCCATCAATCATATCTCATTTTCAGGGGGCTTTCATCCAAGAAAGACAAATCTCGGACCAAATACTCATTTAATGAATGTGTGGAGGAATTTAAGAAGTTCAGGGGGAAGGGAATTGTGTGTAAGCTGGATCTAGAAAAAGCCTACAATTTTGTGGATTAAGAGTTTTTGATTGAGGCGCTAAGGAAGTGCGATTTTGGAGCAAGATGGTGTAAATGGATCAAAGGATGCCTAAAATCTTGTCACTTTTCAATGTTGATAAATGAAGGAGTCAAGGATTTCTTTAGGGCTAAAAGAGGAGTGAGGCAAGGGGATCCCCTATCCCCTTCCTTTTCACTATCTTAGCAAAGGTGTTTAGCAAACTAATTTCGAAGGCATATGAATTGAGTCTTATAAAGGGGTGGAGAGTAGGACGAAAGAGAGTGATGGTAACTCATTTACAATTTGCAGATGATATCATTATTTTTAAGGATGCTAGTGAGCCTCTTTGAGAAAGTGACAAACTTGAAGGTGAACCTGAATAAAAGTGTGGTGGCTGGAATCAATTTAGCTCAAGAAGAGGTAAATTCATGGGTAGGGGAGTTAGGTTGTCTACGAAGTGAATGGCCACTGAAGTATCTTGGACTTCCCCTTGGGGCAAATCTTAGAAACTTAGGTTTTTGGAATCCGGTAGTGGAGAGGTTGAAAAGAAATTGGCCGTGTGGAAGAGGAGTTATATCTTGTTGGGGGCAGGATTACTCTCATTAGGTCCACTTTAGCAAATTTTCCCCGCGATTTTTGCCCTTTCCTCTCTCAAAAGCATACCGGTTGCGGAATTTTTAACCCCTTCCCCTTGTCTGGTATTGCTTGGAATTTGGGCCTTCGTAGAAATGTGAGGGACTCTGAACTAGCTTCCTTGTCGTCTCTCCTTCAGCTACTTGATGGGGTGTTTCTAGACACTTCTAAGCAAGACACTAGGTTTTGGACCCTTCATCCATCTGGAGTCTTCAGCTGCACTTCCTTCTTCAAATCCTTGTCTGCTCCAAATGCACCTGGGGTACCTTTTCTAGTGAAAGAAGTTAGGTGTCGCCCTATTCCCCCCTAAAGTGGGTGCTTTCTCTTGGGAGGTCTACCATGGTGCAATCAACACCTGTGATCTAATGCAGAGGAAGAGACCTGGGTGGTGTCTTTCACCTAATTGGTGTTGTCTGTGTGCTCACCTAATTTGGATTTGGTTAGTCAATCTTTTCGGTTGCAGTTGGAATCCCCTTATGAGTTTGGATAAGCTATTTGACTCCTATACCTTCAGCTGGCCAAAAAAAAGAGGGAGAGCATTGTGGAGATGCATAAGGGAAGCAGTGCTTTGATGCTGTGGGAGGAAAGAAATTCGAGAATTTTTTAAGAAAAGAGAAGAAGGAAGAGCTGGTCGATAGAATTATGATAAAGGTGACCTCGTGGGTAAAATCTCCCAAACTGTTCTCAGATTTCAGTGGGGGTGACATAATCAGGAATTGGAGAACAGTTGCTTCCTCCTCAGCTGTAAAACTGAAGGTTCTAAGGGATTGGGACCCCCACCCCCATTCAGGCTTTCTCAAATTAAACTTTGATGGAAATAGTTTTGGTAACCCAGGAAGGTCTGGAATTGGAGGTGTTAAGGAATGACAAGGGGATTGTAGTGGGGATGTACTCAGGCCCTATTGGGGTGGGAGATTCTACTACAGCTGAACTAAAGGCAATGGAGATGGGGGCGAGGAAGCTAGTTGTAGAAGGTGATTCTAAGGTGGTTATAGGCTGGCAAAAAACAACTGGTTATTCAGAAACGAAATCAATAAGGTCAAAAGCATATCCAAGCACATGCAGCTGTCATTTCAATGGACTCCAAGAGCAGCAAATGGATTTGCAGACCAGTTAGCTAAACAAGGGGCTAATAGGGAATTTTGTTTCTGGGCTCAGCTGTAAGGCTGAAAAGTCAAAGTTGTAATTTGATTTTAATTTCTAATGGGGTAGCCGAGTCTACCCATTTCCTGTAACTCTTATCTGATCTTAATGAATTCATTCTTTATTGATCAAAAGAAAATTATATCTAACGTAAATATAATTATTACGGGTAATATACCTTATATAAAGTGGCAAGAACACGAGAACGTTGGGGACCAGCAGCAGCCAAAATTGTGCATGTAACAGCTGCAGTTAGAGCTTGTTCCAAAGCTGCTTCGTCAATCCACCTATGATGTAATAATAAAAATGCAATTATTTTTTTGATAAATAATAAAGAATAAATGGTTAAATAGGTAAATATATAACTGTTGCTCCATTTAATTTATAAAGTAAAGAATTACAAGGGCCTAGGATATTCCAGGTTCTGTAACTATGACAAGAATCTAATTCAAGGCTGACAAGCATGAGAAAACATGTTCAAGTATGAAAGTGGCCACTTCGTCAAAAACACACGGGCACGCGCACACACAAAATGTTAGCTTCATACGCAATCTACCCTTCCCAATACCAGATAGCTTGGACCAAAATTTGGTAATGGCCCTTTATATGCATTGCCTTGTTATTGTGTAGGGAAAAAAACATCTCCCTCATCCTTTTGATAATGTCTCACCAAAACAAGTAAGAAGAGCCCACTCCAAATGCAAGAATCAGTACATTGGCAAATAAATATGATTTTTCCTTTTTGTTGTATTTTGCATTTTACATTAGTTGATCTAGATTTTAAGGGAACAACTTGTAACATCTGACCTTCATTTGTTTACTTTCCCCAGGGTTTTGGTCATCATAGACATGCAACACATGGCCATCCACATTGCATGTAATGCCCACAAGACCATTAACTGCCTTGCATGTGCTCAGATAGGCACATGGATGGGGAAATAGGAAACGAATGAAATAGCAGTGGATACCATCATTTATGAAGAGCTCTACTTCACAATGGACAGTTGTGATTAGACCTGTTCACATGCAGAGACAGGTTTTTCCTCTTTATCAACAAAAAAAATGTCTATGCTAGATCATCGGGCCTAGATCTTGAGCTCAAGCCCGACCCTTATAGGCTTATATAAAGCCCAAAGCCCAGGCCTGGAGCCCAATCTCTACATTAAAAGTCCTATTTACGATGTCATTTATATTAGTTTGGCAATGATTTAATAAATTAATGTATATTATATATTTTATATGTTATTAAAATATGTTTTTATTATATGTCACATTATCGAGGCAGGCTTAATTGAGAAAGCCCAAGCTCGAGCCCGCGGGCCTAAAATTTTATCCAAACCCAATTAATAATGAACTAGCATGAACAGGTCTAGTTGTGATTTAAGAGAGCTCTACATAGAATTTAAAGTACATTTATTTCAATTTTAGCATCACATACTGATGCATGATGATTGCCCCCTAACACTTGGATTGTAAGCCCATATGCGTAGGGCTTCCTTATTATTTATGGCCCCAAACTTTACTGGGTTCTCTTCTTGCAGGCCTACTACCCACAGCTCAAGATTGGAGACCACTACAGAAGCAAGGCCATAATAGAAAATGCTAGAGCCTAGAACATCCCTTGAGCCTTTCCCTGTGTAAGAAGTATGGACTAAGCCTGTTCCTCCTACAATTGCTGTTTTTTGCTAGGAAGTGTACCTTGGTAAGGTCAATACTTTGGAAAACTTACAAAAGAAAAAAGCCTTTCTTTTTTTTTTTTGATAGGAAAAGAAAAAAGCATTTCTTGTGTATATTACCGAACTGGTTTGTTTTGTGCAAATGTCATAGTGAGGACTATTACCACTTACTGGTTTCTCGTTCCTTTGCCGCAGATCTCCGGGATTGGATGTTTGTTTTGTTTGGATGTAGGTGGAATTAGCCATCAGAGTCAAAATTATTGTTTTCTCTGTCTACCTTTGTTTGTCCAACAAAGAGAGGAAAACAGTATGTGGAGATGTTTCAAAGCAGCCACCTTATGCTTATGGACAATTTGGGAAGAAAGAAATGCTACAATTTTCCAAGATAAGGAGAGGTCCTTTAGAGAAGTGAAGGATTGTATTTTAACTAGGGCTATTCGTTGGCTGAAATCCTTGGTTTCTTTCAACTCCTCCTTTGATGACATTTAGAGGAATTGGGCTGCAGCTGCACACACTTCAATTAGGAAAAACAGAGCTGCAACAGGTTGGTTAACTCCTCCGAAGGGGTTATTAAATTGAATTTTGACGGAAGTAGTCAAGGTAACCCATGACTGTCTAGCATAGGAGGAGTCCTGAGGAATGAGAAATGGCAACATCATTTCCTTGTTTTCAGGCCCGGTGGGGATAGGGGATTCCACAAGAGCTGAATTACTGGCCGCAGTACGAGGGATTCAGATTGCTAAGCAATTAGGAGTGGATAACTTGTTAACTGAAGGAGATCCTAAAGTGATTGTGAGCTGGTTGTCAAATCCAGACTCAGTTGTTTGGAGTTATAGGGATCTCATCAAAAAAGTTATTAAATGCTTAACAACACACATAGTGTGTAGATTCCAGTGGGTGTGTGATTTTCTTGCTAAACAAGGGTCCTCTAGGGATCAGTTATTTTGGGCAGCTTTGTAGTCTTTATTTCTGATCATTTGTAATGCTTAGGGGAGGCTGCATCTCATGCCGCTCCAAGGGATGCTTGTAAAGCTTTGTTCTTCTTGTTTAATAAAATTAATTCTCAATTATCAAAAACAATGCTAGAATATATTGATTTTTTTTATTTGTTATTCCATTAGGCAGCAAGTTAATGTTTTTTGTCTCCCTACCAAATAGTTGATTCTCTTTCTTTCTGTAAGTTAGTGAAGAATGATATTTTGAATGTTTTTTTTTTCTAAAACTCTTGGAGGAATCTCTATCCTCCTTTGATTTCTTCCTATTTCCATGAAAGTTATTCAAGGTGCTCCATAAACCCTTCCCAGGGATTTGTGCCACAGCAGATAGACTCAAAACAATTTCATAAAATAATGATGCATCAATACATACTCATCTCCAATTTGTCGCTTCTCAATTTGGGAAATGTCATAATAACGAAGTGCAGCTTCCAAGAACTTCCTTTTTAGATCTAAGATCCTTGCATAACAAACCTGTTCATAAACAATAGAAAAAGAAACAACTGAACCAAAGAATGCATTATGTTTAAGGAAATAGGGAAAAAAAATAAGTAATCATTCCACCCCAGGGCTTTAACTTTCTTAATCAATTCCCCTCAGAGCTCAAATGCCATGAATGAATGTTCACCTTGTACTGTAAATTCAATACTTCATGTTGACTATTGCTAACCAAGAAGGAAGCTTTATTGATAAAGGCTTCTGCATTTACAGCATCATCATCCTGCCAAATGAAGCAAAAGGAACAGTTAAATATCTTTTACTTTGTAATTCTTCATTTGCTTTCTGTATGTAATTCTCATTTAATCTTTTAATGAAATATATAGTTATTGATAAAAAGGAAAAGTTAAATATCCAAGACCAGGAAATGTATTTTATCAATATCCAGGAGTTCTGGTATCAGTTAATACTCAACATAAAGCCTACACATGGAATAATTCATATACACCTATACAATTATACAATTACGGTTACAGTTATACACAAGGATTTGGATCCTCCACCTAATGGTTCCAACCTATGTCAATGCCAAAATCAATCCAACCACATGAAGGTAAAAATTGAATCTAATATCCTATAGCATTATCTGAAAGGCCGTGCAGCATAGTTCTGATAAGAACCCTAAGAATAGATGGTTATGAACATAAAATTGAGTCAATTGTTGCCTGGGCAGTGTCATATGCATGAAATCTGGCTAGTGACATGTGTCAATTACATTTTTTTGCAGCTTATTGGGACTGAACAATCTTTTTTATATGAAGTAAAAAAAGATATTTGTTAATGAAAAAAGATAATATAAAAGGAAACAGAGATAAGTGAACCTTCAACACAACCAAAAAAGTATCTGTTATCCAGATATAACACAACTATCAACAAGACTAGATGATCCACATTGTTCCAGAGATTGAAATTCTAATCAGATAGTATTGAAGTACCTCAAGATAAAGGCGAGCAATTTGGACACATTTGGAGAGCTTGTAAGTCTCATCAAGCATTCTGATTAGAAAAAGAAAGAAAGAACAAAAACTAGATAGTTAAAGTAGGAAGATTTAATCAGGGCATGTATGTTCATATATAAGGCCCTGCCTTGTAAGTAGCTGCTTTGAAGAAGCTACTGGAGGAGGCTTCAACAGAGAGCTACCTGAATGGCTGCACAATGGCAAATTTTGGCTCTCCATATTTCTTACCAAACATTTTTTATCAGTAACAGAAAATTTATTAATAAGCAGGAGTTACAGCTTTTGGGTAGCCAACACCAACGTAATCATAGGACATCAGCTAATAGAAAACCTTGACTCTTAATTTTGCAAATTAGCCCAGAAGCACTGTTCCCTGTTTACACCTTGCTTTGCTAAGTGATCTGCTAAATCATTGGCTGATCTTGGGATCCATTGAAGAACCAGCTGCAGATCCTTTGATAGACTCCTAAACTTTCTGATTTCATTTTTGAAGCACCAAGGAGTCTTCTCAGTTTGTTTCAGTCACCTTAAGAGCTTTCTGGGTAGGCCCCATCTTGCAAAGCCAAAAAGTAGGGGTGATTATGGGCTGGGTTGGGCTACTGAGCTAAGCACCTATGATATGGGCTATAGCTTGGCTTGGGCCTGACCAGGTTATGGGCTTATGACTTTAAATATAAAATATTAATATTAAATATTATGTGTATAAAAATTTATTTCATACATTATATAATATAAAGTATAGCATAAAATAACATATACATACATACACACATAATATTTATATGTGTGTGTGGGAGGTGTGGGCAGGGCTATAAATGATCACCCCTTGCCAAAAGCCACTGCATGAAACCCTCCCAAATGGATACTAGAAAATGTCCATTTTGTACAGCATAGCTTGCAAATTTCTCCTTGTAAATATATCAAGAAGAATGTATTGCAATAACCCTGGCCTCACAACAAACAACCTCACCTGATTCCAGAGTCCAGATCAATGCCACTAAGCATCTGAGCTGCTTTTGACCATTGCTGCTCAGACTCATAGAGCTCAGCAAGCTTCTCTCTGATTATCAACACCTGCAACTCATACAAGCAGTGAAGCAAGTCACAAATTCCTTTTAAAAGATCTAAAAGCAATCGACTAAAGACACTACAAAAGGAATCCACCCACATGCAACAAATTTCCTTCTCATTTATCAATGACAACTTGGCCAGAAGGTGTTACCGAGAAATTCGATTCATCAGAGTTAAATTTAGGATGAAAAGGAGATGTTACCACATGGATGTATTCTGGTCCAATGATATTTCAGAATATTTAAAAAATGGCCTTTTTCAAAATTAAATATTCGAATTTTGTAACTGGTGGATCAATCAAATAGAAAATAATAAATGGCCAAGCAGATGAATTAGAGAAACCAAAGAAAAGCAAAACCAAAAGGAGATCAAGGAGGACATAGAAGAACTGGGGCAGAGTGGAAGATGGCGGTGAGAATCATGAGCATATGAGTCACAAAGAGAAAAGCTTGGATGAGAAGGAATTTGTTCAAATAGGTTTTATGGAGTTGGAGAAAAAAAGGAATTTGATGATGATTGTGGTGCTGATGAAGATGGTATTGGGGATGAAATGTTGGAGAAGTTGGAATGTTAATCAGTTGAGGTAGGTGAAGGGCTGGTAAATGGTGGTGTTTTTGCTTGGAAAATTGGGGTTGGAGTGGCTCTAGACTGGCTGGTTAGAATTTTGGGCTTTAGTGTTTTTGTTATTCTGATTGTACAATGGTCATTAAAGTTTTTCTTGGCATGAAGAGGTTTGCAATGTTTTTAGTTTAAGAATTGGTGGTGGGGGATGGTTGTTTTGGTTTTATGTGTGTGAGGGTGTTGCAGCAGAGAATATTTTGGAGGGTCTTTCTTGGATGATGCCTTATCACCCTATCTCATGTATTTCTTTTTCTTCTAATGAGTTTTTCTTTTTGCTATCAAAAAAAAAAAAGTATCAGTTTCGCCGTTTACCCCATAAGAAACCATGTGAACTGCAGTAGATTGACTAAATCGATAACAGGAAATCAAACACCCACTGGATTGGTTTGAGTCTTGAAATGAGAAAGAAAACAAAATCTTTATGGTGATGAAATCTTTGAAAAGGGAAAGAAAAATTGTAGAGAGAGATTGCAAAGTCTTCATGAATGGGTTTTTGTAGTGGCCTCTTAATTTTTTCTTAGGGTGTTGGTAGGCAGGGATGTTCAATGAAGAAGGATTGGGCTGAGGTTGTTGGTGTGTAATATTGGTTTGTGTGACCTTTGCATCTAGGACCAAGCAGAAACTTTCCTCAAGCATTAAAATGAGCACACTTCCAAAGTTAATTGCATGAAATAAAAAATAAATAAATAAATAAGGGTCCTATCATGCAATTCTTGATTCGTCAAAAAGGAAAATTAATAAAGTTCTATTGAAGATAAACATAGTATTCATAGATGCTTACTTTCGGCCATTAATTGTTTAAATTCTCATTTAGAACTTATCTTCGTTCTTTGTTTTTTGTCAGGGGATCTCCAATTTCTTTCTTGAAGAAGTAAAATGGGGATAAAGCAATAAATCACATTTTTCTGTATTCCTAAAAGTTTTGATCTGTCCGAGACACTAGGCCACTTTCTACACAATCAGCCAGATCTGTTGTCTATGCCTAACTGGGTTCTTCACTTCTTTGACAATGGTGCTCCACAATCACTCTACCGGGGCACATTAACCATCCCCAGAACCCCTCCCTTCCCCCTTGAGAATTGGTGCGTGTGACAATGCAATATCATTTATGAAGTATCCTTTTTTGTTGGAAAGAGACGGATTTCTTACGTTTCTTTTACATCAATTCACTTAGAATATGTTGACTGTGTTTAGTTTTTAACAACTCTGAGGACAACGAAATACATGAATATATTCGTTATCATCCAACAAACATGCTCATAGTTCCGCCCGCTGGCTCTTTACTCTCCAGTATCATGGAAGTGCAGAATTTTTTTCCTAATGCAACTAATAAGAAATATGCTGTTCAGCTAATGCTTTCCTGAAAGAAACCATAAAATCCATCTCCCTAGCCACGCCTCCCTTACATAGTCGTGTGAAGTAGTAAAAATCAATACAGCAGCTGCTATTGCATGTTTTAGTGATTAATACTCTGGCAACGCCTCTAGACTTGACAATTATGATAGGAACCGTTGTAGACTAATGGAAACAGAGAAAAGGAGGGAGAGAAAATGGACGGGACGAACCTGTTCTTCAAAAGATACCACTCGAGGCTGAATCTGAGTGAGGGCATAATGTGCAATCTCCTTTTGCGTCTCAGGTTCCAACCTGCCTAGATCCTGCGCAAACATTTGCAATAGTTGTCGCGATACCACCAACGGAACGTCGTCCGACACCACTGTAACCCAAAAAGAATGAACTTATGGAAACTGTTGCGAGTGTCTAAAAATCGGTATAAATTAATGAGACCTAAACAAAGTTAATATGAAAATGATTCAATGAATTACTGTGATCAATGAACTTCTTCGCTTGTGTGATATCATTGGAGGCGAGAACGGATGAAAGTATGAGCTTGTACTGTTCGATCTTTTGTCTCTGATCAGTGATTGCAGAGGCGCTCGATAGCGCGCTCTCCATGGCTCGTCAAGTTAACTTGCACTCGGTAGAAACTCGAAAACCTAGCGCTTACACTGAGCGATTGTTCTGCCCTGTATTCGGGAAACCGCCCTTCTGGCGCTGCAAAATTCGTCTGATTCGTCTGTAGCTTTCGCACTGGTTTTGTGAACAAGAAGGATCATGGGCCGGGCCGGGCTTTCCACGTGTGGTAAGGACCAATGTTCGGATAAACCGAACCGAGCATGGACGGGAAGAACAGACGTTCATTTCAGAACAAGACGTGATTAGGTAGTATATTTGGATATATTTATATAATATAATGTGTATAATAATTATAATAGTGGGACCCGCACAATACATGGGTTTTATTAAGAAAATTTGATGAAAAAACTTTATGATATTTCCAATTAAACATTGTTCAGATCAGTCCAATTCAAGTATTTTTTGGGTTATGTTTAGTTTATTCGATCACAACTCAAGTTTCACTTCGTGAGAATGGCTAATTTCTTATGGTCTAGATAAAATTGTATTATTTTATTGTATCTTGATATTATTTTTTATTTATTTTTAAATTGTATGGTTTGTGATTATTTTTTTATTTTTTGTAGGTAAAAATATTTTTTGCTAAAATATGTTTTGAGTTGTAATTACTTATGGATAAAGTTGATTAAGGGTAAGTTTGGTATTTTAAGAAAACCGATGCATTACATCAACATTTTCTATTTTAGATGCCAATGGAAGGATAATATCTACACTTTTTCTCAAAACAATATGGGAGGTTTTTGTAAAGGTCAAAACATATACACGAGAGCGTCATGTGGTTTTAAAAAAATCCCAATGATGTTTCTATAATTTTTCCTAACTGTTAAATATAAATTTAGTTGATTTTAAATTATTAAACTATATTTAAGGTTAATAAATTTTTATTAGCTTTTCTTTTATTAATAATTATTAGATTCAATTAACTATATTAAGTTTTTATTATTCAATTGAATGTAAGTTCATTAGTAAAAACTAATTATAAAACTAATAATTGTTAATTGTTAGATAATTTTGCATTAGTTTTATATTATTTTTAAATGAATGTTGGTTTTTAATTTTTCTTATTGCTTTTTGTTAGTTTATATGATTTTTATTATATTGGTGAAAATATTTTATTAATAAAAATAATTAATCATTTTTATCTTATTTTATTAATAAAACTAATCATTAGCTTATTTAAGTAATTTAATAAATTAATTTCACTATGGTTAATTGAATGGAAAGGGGTGGTCTCCTCTTTCAACAAATGGAAGTAATTTAATTACAGATTATAATCAATTACTGATTATAATTACTGTTATAATCAAACCCGAATTTATTTATAAACCCAGTTTAGATAAATATAGTTATCTATTTATTTTAACCCGATTTTAATAATTACTGATTATTACAGTAATTTAATAAATATTTAATTAGTGATTATAATTAATAATTATTGTTATCATAAATATTGTTAATAAATAGATATTTACTTTAAATTAAAATTATAAATATTGTTAGTAAATTTAGTAAGTATTGTTATATTAAAAATATTTAAAAATGTTATTAAAAGTATTGTTATTGATTATTTAATAAAATATTATAATTACTGATAAATACTATTAATTTAATTTAATTTTGGTAATTATTAATTTAATTAATATTGTTAATAACTCATATTCATAGATTTAATAATTACTGTTATATTAAAAATAACTAAATAATATTATTAAAACTATTATTACTGATTATTTAATAAAATATTATAATTACTTACTATTATTGATAAATGCTGTTGATAATTAAATATTTAATAATAATGTTAATAAAATACAACAAAGATAATGTTTGTCTTTTTGCTTATTGAATTTCTTTGGTTTAATTTTTTGGGTTTTGTACTTTGAATATTGTTACATAATGTTAGTTAAAAATGCTATTAGCAATTTAGCATTTAGCTAATGAATTGCTTTAATTATTAATTTAATGAATATTGTTAATAAATCCTATTCATAAATTTAATAATTATTTTTCTATTCAAAATAACTAAATAATATTATTAAAGCTATCATTATTGATTATTTAATAAAATATTATGATTACTTACTATTTATTGATAAATGTTGTTAATAATTACATATTTAATAATTAATATTAATAAAAGTCAGCAAAAATAATATTTGTCTTTTTGCTTATTGAATTTATTTGGTTTAAATTTTTGGGTTTTATGCTTTGAATATTGTTACATAATGTTAATTAAAAATGCTACTTGCATTTAGCTTAATGAATTGCTTTGGTTTACATTTATAGATTTTGTTATTTGAAGATTGTTACATATTGTAATTAAAAATATTGTTATTTGAATTTTTTTATTTGATAATCGTTATACCTAAAATTGTCAAATAATTATAAAAACTACCAAATATAAATTAAAAATTTACCATTATTATACATAAATTACCGATATTTATAAAAAAAATTATGAAAAATAAATCAAAATAAATCAAAATAAATTATCACAAATTATTAGACTTTAGGATGATAATTACTTGAAATTATAAAATAACATAATCCTTGATACATTAAAATAATTTGCCAAAAATTATCATAAACTAGTAGAAATGTCCAAAATAGCCACTAAATTCCATAAAATCGATAAACTACTATAATTTACCAATAAACTATCATCTAATAAATATAATTAATTTCCATGTAATTTATATTTACCAAGAATTATCATAAATTATTATATAATATAAATTACCATAATTTAATAGAACTTAGGGAAAAATAACCAATAATTTCCATAAAATATGATAAAATAGATGAAACTAGTATAACTTTGTAAAAATAACCATTAAATTCCAAAAATCAGTAGAACTTATGATGATTACTTCAAATTATCAAATAATATGAACCTAAATAAATTACAATAATTTGTCAAAAATTGCATTTCGTTTTCTCGTGCATCGCACGGGTCTTCGCTAGTATGAATTGATTATAATTTTAGAGTAAATTACAAGCCACCCTTTGTACTATGGGGTATGTGACAAAGACCCCCCTGGACTTTAATTGTTAGACAAAGACCTCTCTCGTTAACGTTCTGTAAGTTAACTTAAAAAAAAAAAAAAGGACTCTCATCTCATTGTTTAAGATTTTTCTAAATGTCCAAACTACCATTTTCTTTAATTTACAAAATTACTTTTTTTTACACTTTGTAATGTCCATTGCCTTTGCTATTGAATCTAATTGAAATGACTATGGCAAAGACAATGGTGAATGTCTAGAGTTCTCAAGCTTATCTAAAGTTTTCTAAATCCATGCCCAATAGGTGAATATCCCTTTTTAATTAACTCCTCAAAGATTTTGTTCATTTTCCAATAGTGAATGCCATTTTCTTTTAATTAACTTACCAAGGGTTTATTCTTCTTCTTTTTTGGGGGGGTGGGGGCAACAATCATTGGTGAGGTGATATAGGTCTTTATTGGTGATAAGCAATTCAGGTATTTGGGGTTAGTTAGGTTTTAAGAGGAAATGGACAATAACAAATTTTTAAAACTATGGGGTATTTTGGTAATTTAGTGCCTTCCATCATATGACTTAATGACCAAGAGGGGACGAACATAAAGCTATGGGGTCTTTGTCACTAACCCCATAGTACAATGAGGTCTTTTTAATTTATCTTAATTTATATGATGATTTATTCGATGTTTTCAACTTGTCGTTGACTTAGACAATTAAACCATTGTTACTATAGTTCAACCCTATTTCTAATTATGGATTTTCTAAAAGCTATTGTTTTGTTAAAACCGTTCATCTGGTCAAAACCTATTCAACATATATGGTTTAAGCATTGACCCTTTTAATGTAGTCATTGGGCCATGGGTTGCAATATACAATGTATTGGAAACTTCTTGTAGACTTAAACTTCGTGCTTAATTGCCTGATTGGGGCAATTTTTTTTATGTATATTGGGTATATTTTTCACAAGATGTGCAACCACACTATACCCCCCCCAAAAAAAAAACTCATTTTGTGGTCTCAAATTTAAAGTTTCATTTAATTTAATTTATTTATAAAAAAGTTAAAAACCGGAATAAAAGTACAAATTGAACCTAACAATAATACACACACACCAAATTAATTATAATAGTTATTAGATTCAATTAACTATATTAAATTTGTACTATTCAATTGGATGTAAGTTAATTAGTAAAAATAATTATAAAATTATTGTTTGTTAGATTATTTTGTATTAGTTTTATATTATTTTTAAATGGATGTTGGTTTTTAATCTATCTTATTACTTTTTATTATTTTATTTGATCTTTATTATATCAGTGAAAATATTTTATTAATTTTATCTTATTTTATTAATAAAACTAAGTAATAGTTATTTTTATCTTATTTAAGTATTCTAATAAATTATTTTCAATATGGTTAATTGATTTTTTTTATTTCAAATGGAATGTGGATTGATTATACTTTTAGAGTAAATTACAATACCCCCTTTGTACTATGGAGTATTTGACAAAGACCCCCTGAACTTTAGTCATTAGACAAAGACCTCTCTCCATTAGCGATTCCTAAATTAACTTCAAAAAAGGTTTTGTCTAGTGTTTGAGGTTTTCTAAATGCCCAAACTACCATTTTCTTTAATTTATGAAATTACTTTTTTTTTTTACACTTTGCATCGCCCACTGTCTTTTCAATTGAAGTTAACTAATATGGCTATGGTAAAGACAACAGTGAATATCTATAGTTTTCAAAATCCATGCCCAATAAAGTGAATATCCCTTTTTAATTAAATCGCTAGAGTTTTTTCCTTTTTCAGTAATGAATGTCCTTTTTGTAATTAACATACCAAGGATTTTTTTGGGCAACAATCACTGGTGAGGTGATAAAAGTATTTCCCACTGATAAGCAATTAAAGTATTTTGGGGATAGTTATGTTTTAAGAGGAAATAGGCAATGAAAATAATAAAAAGGATAAATTTAGTGGGGTATTTTGGTAACTTAGTGCCTTCCATCACATGACTTAATGACCAAGAGGGTATTTGTCACAACATAAAAGTTACGGGGGTATTTGTTGCAAATTAAAATATATGGGGTATTTGTCACTAACCCTACAGTACAATGGAGGTCTTTGTAATTTATCACATT